TTCCCTTTTCCTGCTGGCCTCACTGTTCCTGATCCAAGCCAGGGTGCTATTGGCCTTCTTGGCTGCCTGGGCACACTGCCGGCTCATATTCAGCCAGCCAACACCCTCAGGTCCTTTTCCGCTGGGCAGCTCTCCAGCCACTCTTCCCCAAGCCTGGAGCACTGCATGGGGTTGTCGTGACCGAAGTGCAGGACCCGGCACTGAGCCTTGTTGAACCTCATACAGTTGGCCTTGGCCCATCGAGCCAGCCTGTCCAGATCCCTCTGTAGAGCCTTTTTACCCTCCAGCAGACCAACACCCCCGCCAAACTTGGTGTCATCTGCAGACATCTGCAGACTTATTTGATCCCCTCGTCCAGATCATTGATAAAGATATTAGACAGAACTGGCCTCAGTACTGAGCCCTGGGGAACACCACTTGTGACTCACTGCCACTGGATTTAACTCCAGTCACCACAACTCTTTGGGCCCGGCCGCCCACCCAGTGAACAGTAGACCTGTCCAAGCCATGAGCAGCCAGTTTCTCTAGGAGAATGCTGTGGGGAATGGTGTCAAAGTCTTTACTGAAGTCTGGGTAGACAATATCTACAGCCTTTCCCTCATCCACTAAGTGGGTGTACCTTGTCATAGAAGGAGATCAGGTTTGTCAAGCAGGACCTGCCTTTCATAAACCCATGCTGACTGGGCCCGATCACCTGCTTGTCCTGTACATGTCGTGTGATGGCACTCAAGATGATCTGCTCCATAACCTTCCCCGGCACCGAGGTCAGGCTGACAGGCCTGTAGTTCCCCGGATCCTCCTTCTGGCCCTTCTTGTAGATGGGCATTGCATTTGCTAACCTCCAGTCAACTGGGACCTCCTCAGCTGAAAATGAGTGATGTAAAACCAGTCCCAGTATTCCAGGTATAGTCTTATTAGTACCAAGCAGACCAGGTAATAATTTCCCTCAGTCTGCTGGCCTTGCTTCTGCTAAGGTAGCCCAGTAGACAGTTTGCCTTGCTCACAATGAGGATGTCCTCTTGGCTTCTATTCAGCTGGGCAGCTGCTGTAACTCCCTGGTCCTTTACAGCAGAGCTGTTGCCTCTGCAGTCTCTTTTCATCCTATGCTGATGCGTGGGTTTTGCCTCAGGTGCAGAAGTTTACACTTCTTATTGAACCTGAGATTTCTGTTGACCCAATCCTCAAGTTTCTCAAGGTCCCTCCAGATTGAAGTTTTGGTCTTTGTCATGTCGGCCACTCCCCAAAATTCAATATTGGCTGCAAAATTGCTTATGCTATACTCTATGTCATAACTTATGTTGCTGTCCATGTTGAGCAATGTACAGCCCAGGTAGGCCCCAGGAGTATTCTGCTCATTGCTGGCTGTCAAGCCATTGATCATTGCCTTTGAGTCCAGTGGTCCAGCTAATTTTTGACTATGTAGCAGTTCCTTTGTCTTGTTCATAGCTCCTTAGTTTCCAAATGTGAATACTGTGGGTGATGATGTTAAAAGCTCTGTGTACTGAAGCTGGCTGGGACGGAGTTAATTTTCTTCATAGCAGCCTCTAGGGTGCTGTGTTACAGATCTGTGACTAAAGCAGTGTTGGTAACACACCAATGTATTAGCTATTGCTGAACAGCGCTTGCACAGCATTAAGGCAGCCTCTGTTTCTCACTCTGCTCTCCCTGCAGTGAGTAGGCTGGGGGTGGGCAAGAGCTTGGGAGAGGTCACAACTGGGACAGCTGACCTGAACAGACCAGAGGGATATGCCAGGCCATATATAGACCACATTCACGAGGATCAGTGACAGTAGTGTCTGAATCAGCAACTTTTCTGCCGCTGAATTTTAGTGCCCTTTCTCTAAAGTGACTAGGAGGAGGGAAGAGGACAGAGGAAGAGAGGGAGAGGGGAGGAAAGAAAGAGAAGGGGAGAGGGGAGAGAGAGGACAGATTGGGGGGGGACAATGGGGGAAGGGGCAGAGGGGGGGAGAGAGGAAGACCAGACAAAGGGACCAGAGAGTGATATTATGTGAAGAAAGTTGTTTCCAGGTTCTATTTCTATTGTTGGGAGTTCTTTCTAGCCTCCTGCTTTCTAGACTCCTGAAGGAAGTCCCTCCTTTGGAAGGCATGCTTGTGATCGTCAGCGCTGCCCGCGATCTTAAAAGTTTCAGTATTTCAGTGCAGAATCACAAGCAGTCCAGTTCCCACATTGAAATGGAAGACTCAGAATTTAGCAATCTTCGGAAAGAGAGTTGCATTCAAGGAGAAAGCAAGAATATAAAATAATTATTTATTGATGATATTTCTGAAAGGTTTAGGTCAATCTCAGCACTTCAGAAATCTTGTTTTGGAAGTGTGTTATTCTGTACATCATGCTGATGTTTTGGGACTCCTATTCTGGAAACCTTAGCCACAAGCTACTGTTGGAGATTATCACTGGTCTTTGGACCTTAGTAATGTGTGGTGTGGCAGTTCCCATGTTCTCAATAGAATTCTTACCCTCAGTTACACAGGGAACAATTTTGCTTTCACAAAAATACGAGTTTTTTACTTAGCAGTTGTGTTCTTTTCTCAGCTGTCTCAGGTCTTTGAGGAGAAAAATGCCCTCTCCCTCCAGCTGCGCGGTAGCAGTCGGAACATCTGTGAGAGCCATCAGCACTGAAATGAGGTTCTGAACCGAAAAAATGAGGTTCTGAACCTATGCTTGGTGCTTAAGAGGCGGCTCCAGGAGCTGCAGTCTGCAGACAAGGGCATGGTAAGCGTGGTGGTCTTGGTGTAAGGGAGGAAGAAGCTTATTGGAGATGGCTCCAGTAACTGCAGCGTTGTAGCTACTTTCTGTCCTCTTCATTCAGTGCTATCTGCTGTACATTAATGCTTTCTTTCAGGAGTTGTTTGCAACGGATGCTGCTCCAGGAGCACCCCAAGAAAAGAATGAGCCTCAGAGAGGCAGTTACACACCAGAACTGCAGGAGTTACAGCTGAGGTAAAGAAAGCCTGAGAAAACAGGTGTGGGGATGTTAGTCCCGATGGAGGTATTTGGGCTAGTGATGAGCCTATTTCTGTTACTCTCTGTCAGAGTGTTGGAAAAATGCAGTTCCAGACTAGGACCTTGTGGAAGGGAAGAACTGTTATATGCTCTTGACAGCTGTCGTTAGTTATCTCTTGGGATAGAACTTCAAAAAATGAAGAGTCAACATGCAGCAGCAATTCCAGTTGACCATCACCAGCCAAACTAGCATCTTTGATTTGATGGGCTGGGTCCTCAGTAACCACTTAAGTATATCAGTGGTCCTGGTCTCAAGGCTGTTAGCCTGAGACTGTCTGGAATTGAGGCTTAGCACATGATTCCTTGTAACCTTCTGAATTAAGATCTAGCACATGATTCCTCATACCCTTTCAAAATAATTTTCAGAAGGTGGGGCTATGGACAACAGAGCCAAGGAACTCCTTTCTGATGTGATGCAGTATAGTCCATGAATTAGCCCCTTCTTGGCATATGCTTGGTTATTTTCTGACAGGTTGTCCGAAACAGAACATTTACATAGCAGCACAAAGCAGGATCTGAGGTATTTAGAGGAGCAGCTGGAGGAAGAACGGGACCGTCGTCTTGCTGTAGAGGAGGCGCTCTCTGCAGCACAGGATCAGATCAGGAGGTGAGGGAGCTTGAGCAAACAGGCAGTATCACCATAAAAGTATGGTGATCCTAGCTCCGTGTTCATCTGCACTTCATTACGTCCTTCTGTCAAATGTCACTGGGGGCATAGAAATGACTATACCATGTCTATCACAGAATCACAGAATGGTTGAGGTTGGAAGGGACCTCTGGAGGTCATCTGGTCCAATGCCCCTGTTCAAGCAGGGCTACCTAGAGCCAGTTGCCCAGGACCATGTCCAGATGGCTTTTGAATATCTCCAAGGACGAAGACTTCACAACATCCCTGGGCAACCTGTGCCAGTGCTCAGTCACCCTTACAGTACAAAAGTGTTTCCTGATGTTCAGGCTATCCTTCAATTGTAGACAAAGATAGAATAAGACAATTGAGTAGACATTAAGACAAATTCTGACTAGAAATGAGACGCCAGCTTTCTCAATGAGTTAAATTAACTACTGGAAAATATAATTTGGAGACTGGGAATTGGGTGAAGGCAGAAGAGGAGTTTTCATACTTCCAGGAGATTTGTCTCCTCAGTAAGCACCTGTCTGTCATGGGCAAAGCAGTCTTGACTTGAAGAATGTCACTCAATTTTAATGTACTGGCAATTAACATAATACCCAAATTAAGTAAAAGTTTGAGAAACAATTAAACACTTAAGGAAAACACTTCCCCTCACCTTTCCCAGGCTCAACTTTAGTCTAAACACCTTTCCTCCCCCCTTCCTAGTATCCAGTCCCATTGTTTGCACCACACATTACACTCAGTCCCTTTGGTGAGGCAAAGGGCAGCATAGGAGGCTGGGGTCAGCATGTAGTGATTTCTCTCTGCTGCTCCTTGTTTCTTACTCATTTCATCCTTCCCCTAGCAGCTACCACCCTTTGTTTAATATGTTTGAGCAGAGGCACCGTATGCTCTTCTGGTTGTAGTTTTGGCACACAGTGAGGCATCATCCATTGCCAAGCCAGCTGGAACCAGCTGTAGCTGGTACAGGCCACTTCATGGCCTCCTGCCACACGCATTAGAAATGCGTGTTTCTCCTCATTGACTATAAAAGTGGGTTTTATCGTGTAACTTGATTGTAGGCACTTGTGCTATGCATCTCCTTGTAGCTAAAATAAACCTTGCTATTGGAGTCTTTTACATGAAAACAATGGTTTTGTTCTGACACACATGCTGATTCAGCCAAAAAATAATGGTCTGTATGGAAGAATACTGGATGAAGTTCCCTGGTAATTGCTACACAAGTCAGACAACTGTAGCCCCTTCTAGCATTAAAGTCTACGAAAGGCTCTTACAACTGATTTCTCTTCACTCACTAATGCTAGCCTGAAGATTTGACAGTGCTGCTTCTGCATTTCATTCTTTAATAGTATCTTATCAATCTTGAATATCTGTCACTAGAAAATAGCAAGAACCAGCACTACTGGGACTAGAGCTGGCTTCCAAAATAATTTCATAGAATTTAAAATCTACAGTTAAATCATCTGCCCTGGCTTCTTTCAAGTCACACACTATGAAAGCCCCCATGTCGAACACAGAGACCTCAGTTAAGTTAGAGTTTGAAATTCCTGAAAAACAAAAGGAAAAAACCAGCACCAAAAAAAATCATGAGTTTTGAAGTGATGGGCTATAAATTAGGTAAGAAAGGACTCCACTGCTAGCAGCTGAATTGTCCCCTCTACTGGAGAGGAATGGTAATCTGCACATCATGCAGTACGGCAGTTTTACTTTTCTCTCTGACTATGGCTATGACTGGGTACAGGAAGTGGCTGGCACTGAGCAAGTACAACTCATACAGAGGGCACAACATGCCTACTGTGTTACAGTTTCACCAGCCTCCCGGTGGAGGAAGGAGGACTACTGCTAGTCGGATCACCCAGTCCTGCTCTGCTTGAGCTCTGGAGGCACTACAGTTGTACAAATGAAACCAGCTCTTGTCAAGTGAGGCCATGGCTTGCTTGCAATGGTTGATTTACTTTTTGAAGAAATACCACCTTTCCTAAGCTTGTCTACAGTGTTGGTTTGAGGCATCATAAGGAGCTGAATTTAATTTCATGTTTTTTGTGGCAGGTTGCAGTCAAGTGAGTGGACGTCTTCCTTAAGTGCTAGCATTGATATGATTCCAAGTCATGAACACTCTTTGCTGATTGACTCCATGGATAATAATTTCAGCAAAGTAAGAATTTACATTCACAGCTGTCAATGATGTGAGCCCTGGCTGATGCAAGAAAATGTGAAATGAAAACTGCGAACCTATAGCAGTTTAATCCTTCTGAAGGCACATTTAAATCTGTTTGGGTTTGTGTAGGTTTCTGCTCTTGTCTTGCTCTGCCTTCCATGCCAAAAGCCACGTATTGTTTTGTTCGTGGCTCTGCTATAGTCTGCATAAGCAGACTAAATTTCAGAGGTCACTAAAATGTAGGCCAGCATTGTCTGTGCCTAAAATGTAGTCCCAGGTTCCTTGTGGAATATTCAAGGCCTCAGTGGTGAGCAAATAGGCAAAGTCTGTGCAAACAATATGCAATCTCATGCATAAGAAGTATACGTGTTACTGGCCCTAGCAGCTGCAATGCCTGAAGAGTCTGCCCTTTCGTTTAGCAACCACCTCAGTTTTTCCTTACTCGTTGTCTTTTAAACCTGTGTCAGTCAGGCTGGGGGCCTAAGTGGAGAGCTGCTTTTTCACTGTACTGAATGACAGCCTGGCAGTCACCTGTCCTGTTTTGCTCAAGGATTAAGCCCTGATGAAGAGTTTCCCCTCTGGTTTCTTCAAGACATGGGGGTGGCGCTCTCAAGAGCGGCATCAGCAGAATTATAGCAGAAACCGTAACTGGATGCTACTCTGTGCTCACACTTGGGGTTTGTTACTAGAATAGACAGTTTCTTCTTTCTACTGGAACTTTGCCAGTAGATGTTACGTTGTCTGAGGACTCCTGTAAGAGCTCCTGTAGAGTAAGGTCACTCTACAGCAGCTTGTTCAACAGCTTCAGAAGTCCTTTCAGCTGCAAGGGTGAAAGAATGCAACAAATAAATAATAATTTTCTTCTTCTAGGCCAGAGAGTGAATCAGGATTCCTAGAAGCTTGAGGCTCTGGCAGAAAATGACCATTGATCCATTTGTTTATATTTCATTTGGAGGGGCTAAAAATTCGTGGGGACCAAATGTTAGAGGGAGATGTTCTGCATTCTGTTGCCCTTTCTCAAGCAGAATTGGAGAGAGCTGGTTCATGAGAAACATGCCCAGAGCAGGGGAAGGGGAATATTTCACTGAGGATTGGCTCTAGAGGTCGAATCTGACAGTGGAATGGGTTTGGGAAGGTTCATGCTCATTAGCTTAAACTTATCTTCATGGTCTGGAGAGCTCTGGGTGAAGGCAGTTGGGGACATATCCATTCCTGGTACTGACTGGTCTCTCTTTTACTCTTCCAGACTCGGAATATCCTTGGACTACGACGCCTGTTACGCTCTCTCTTCCATTCCCGGACCCACTTGCCTCTGCTAGTCGCCATGTATCTGCTTGCTCTCCATGTCCTGCTGTTCCTGTGCTTTACAGGCCACCTATGAACAGGAATAACAGCCTTTTATTGAGCCACAATCCTCTGTGTAGTCCCTGGGCCTGCATTCCCTATCGACAGGGTAGCACTTCACCCAGCTGCCGCCTTTTTCCAAATCAGCCCTTAAGGAGCAGCTGCACCTGGCAACTTGCACCTAGATTGCTTGCTGTCTAAGTATGCAGCAGCCAGTGCTGATGCTTGGGATCTGTTTCCAGGACATCTGCCATTCCTTCGGTGTTTTTAAATGAGTGGTACATTTTCTGAGCCAGGGTCCTCACACTAGAAGCTTCAAGGACAGCATCTGTTCCTGTACCTGGAGGTAGCACCACTCATTTTATATAGTATTGTGCTGTGGTAGGAATAAGAAAAATATTCTTGAGTTGCTGCAGTACTTCAACACTTCTAGGAACTGCAGGATCTTCCCCCTCTTAGACTGAATCAGTGAGTTGGTTTGGGGAAGCCTTGTAGCTAGATATAAGAAAGAGAAGCTTCTTCCCTTTCTTGCATCCCTTAGATTTGATCTGTGGCTCAGCGCTGTTTGAAATGCGTATCCTAAGGAAGTTGTGGACACTTTAAGGAACATGAGTTGAATTTCAAAATCACGTTTCCTGCTCAGTTGCATCTCCTGTTGAAGAAAGGCCAAAATTAGTATATCTGGACCTGCTGAGCATTCCATTTAAAAACAGTCATATGTCTGCCTTGACAAGCCTGTAAAATAATGTCAGTAATTTAGTTATTGAAAAGGAATAGGAAACAAGAAACTCTTTAGCTCTAAGTTAATAACCTTGCTGTTTATAGCATTTGTGCACCTTGCACGATGGAAGGTGCTTGCATACCTCTTGAAAGAAGAGCAGCCATGCTCTTGCATTCTCATCCACTGAACCATTGTCACAAGCTTAAACCTGTACAGGCTGTGTTGAAGGATTCCATAACGTGGTATGTGGGCCCAAATCAAAGGCAGAAGCTCCAAAAATAAACTGTCCCCCCTACGCTGAGGAAGGGACTAGTGTTCTGAAACCTTCTGGCATCTCTGCTTTAGGAAAAGCCTGTTGTAGAAAGCTAGTGCTGGTCATTGGACTTGTTTGAATCTAAAGCAGACTGATGCAGATGGACTTGATCTTATAGGATATATGGAAAGCTGTGTTTTCTAAAGTACCCCTGAATATGTCCTGGAGTTGAAACTGCCTTCTTCCAAAGGGAGAATGCTGAATGCAAAGAAGATAGTTCCAGTCGAGTTCCCTGTCAGAGACCAAGTGGTCGTTCTGTTCAGAGTACTTGCCAGAAGGATTGTATCGGCCTCTTGCTAGAGTATAACAGTCACATTTTTCCCATGGGAAAGAGGTAGTTCTTTTGATATTGCTGGTAAACTAAGATTCTCTAGCCAGTGAACAAAGCCTGTTTGAGGATGGATTGGTTTCATCATGGTAGCTAAAATAATTGGATCTCTGGCGGGTCCGGAACATTGGCACTATCTATCCATTTGTGCACTACCCTTGATTATCTGCGTGGACTTCCTCAACTAGATAAAATTCAGTGACCAAATACTTTGCCTATAGCTTCCTGGGGCATGTGCTCCTGTATATATAATAAAGATTATTTTTCAGATGGAATTTTTGTAATGTTGTCATGTAAATGTCAGAGGTCTCTTGACGGTATAGTGCTGCTGTAGCATACCTTTTCCAGGACCACCATGGGACCGTAGGTAACTTTTGTGTACGCTTTCTTGTACGTTGATTGCGGAAGCTCTGTTTGTTCCTATCATTTGAATGCCTAGGGAGATGACCTTTTTCCCCAGTCTTGCTTCTCTCAGCCTTTTTCAGCTTTTGCTGTGATGACAAAAGAAGGAAATAGCACTTTCATAGTGAAAGCAATTCCAGTAAAACAAGATCTGCTTGGGTTTACTTTTCTTTGCATTTAGGCACCTTTGACTGAACATTGCACCCTGTTGGAATTGTGCGACCCCAGGAAAGACACAGGAGTTAGCAACAGCAAGCTGGAAGCATGCTGCTAACTTAGATGGGGCTAGTTAAAACGTAACGTCCTCTTCCAACTTTCTGTAGTCAAAGAAAGGTACCTTTGTTCATATTCACCACTGCAATCCACTACCACCATTAGAACAAAAGCTAGTAACGGGGTGTTGTAAGACCATAGACAATGTTTCCACTCTATTTAATAGGAGGAAGAATTACAAGCAAAGTACATTTCCTTAAAGCCCATGATGCAAGTTTTTCTGAACTGAAATAAGCTTCTGCTGGTTCAGAGACATTTAAATATTTTATACCTTCAGATGGAACAGTTACATCTTAGATTAAATATATAAATAAATAAAATAAAACCTCAGAAGGAACTCCTGATCCAATAGTGTGATCAAACAGCTTTGTGGCATGAAAGATGTGGCGTTTTAGCTGATGTTTCCCGTTTCAGACATTTCAACTTTCTGTTTTTTCTCTGTTTGATGGACTTGTCCTGCTTATTTTTTTTGATCTATCTGCAATAGAGTCTGAGAAGGAGATCAACCAACGGAGCTGTGCTCTGCCATCTCTGGTACACATAAGCCAGTTCAGCATGGCCACTACTGAGGCAGGTCCAGGATCTGTGATTGTGCCAGGAGGAAGGCAGTGTTACAAGGGATAGGGAGGAGTGGAAGCCGGTTACTGCGTGGACCTGTAAGAAGAACCCCTCCTTACCCTTTCAGCTACCTTTACAGAATAGGTATAAGGCTCTGGGTATGGTAGGCAAAGTGCATGATGAGATAGAAGAGGAGGAACCTATGCGAGTACTCAGTGAGCCAACTAGGAAAGATGCCCTCCTAGACTTGTTTGTGAATAGAGAAGGGCTCATGGCTCATGTGATGGTAGATGGCTGTCTTGGCCACAGTGATCATGAAATGATTGAGTTTAAATTTTTTGGTGTAATGAGAAAAAAGGTCAGCAGAGTTGCTACCCTGGATTTCAAGACAGCAAACTTTAAGCTATTCGGGGAGCTACTTAGCAGTGTCCCCTGGGAATCTGCTTCTGAGGCCCTGGGAGTCAGCGAGTGCCGGTCAGTTTTTAAGAAGCACCTTTTAGAAGCACAGGAGCAGACAATGCCACTGTGTCGAAAGTCAAGGGAGTGGGGCAGAAGACCAGCTTGGCTGAACAGGGAACTCCTCATGGAGCTCAAGGGGAAAATGGAATTGTACAATCTCTGGAAGCAAGGTCAGGCTTTGCAGGAAGATTACAGAGCCGTGGTTCGCATACACAGGGAGAAGACATGAAAGGCCAAATCTCAAGAGTTGAAACTGGTCAGTGTTGTGTCAGACAACAAGGCTTTTTAAAGTATATTAATAGCAAGAAAACGTCTAAAGAAAACATTGAAGCAGTTCTTGTTGATGATGGTCACGTGACTAACAGGGATGAAGAAAGAGCTGAGGCGCTCAGTGCTTTTTTTGCCTCAGTCTTTAATAATATTCATAGACCTCGGGCTGCCCAGTCCCCTGAGTCAGAGGACCATGAGTGCGGGAAGTGCCTTTCCATTTGTGCACACTGAAATTGTAAGGGACCAGCCGTACCAGCTGAATGTTCACAAGTCCATGGGGCCTGATGGGATTCACCCCAGAGTACTGAAGGAGCTAGCGGATGTTATGGCAGGACCCCTCTTGATCATCTACCAAAGGTCTTGGGAGTCTGGGGAGGTCCCCTCCGACTGGAAGCTAGCCAACATTATTCCAATTTACAAGAAGGGCATGAGAGAGGACCCAGGAAACTACAGACCTGTTAGTCTAACCTCAGTTCCTGGAAAAATTATGGCAAAGATCATACTGGGTGCTACTGAAAGACATTTAAAGAACAATGCAATCATTAGGCACAGTCAATATGGGTTCACAAAAGGCAAGTCCTGTTTAACTAATTTGATATCCTTCTATGATAAAGTCACCCACCTAGTGGACCTAAGGAAGGCAGTGGATGTAGTTTTTCTCGATTTTAGTAAGGCTTTTGATACCGTCCCTCACAGCATCCTTCTGGACAAGTTGTCCAACTGTGACATGATCAGGTATGCAGTGTGTTGAGTGAAGAACCAGCTGAACGGCAGGGCTCAAAGGGTTGTAGTGAATGGGGCTGCACCTGGCTGACAACCAGTCATCAGTGGTGTTCCTTAGGGCTCAATCCTAGGGCCAGTTCTGTTCAATATTTTTATCAGTTATCTGGATGCAGGAGTTTGCTGGCGATAAAATAAAGTAGGAGGTGCTGTTGATTCTCTCGAGGGACAAGATGCCTTGCAGAGGGATCTAGACAGACCGGAGCATTCGGCAATCATCAAGGGCATGAAATTTCACAAGTCCAAATGCTGGATTCTGCATCTGGGACGGAGTAACGCTGGGCACAAGTATAAATTGGGAGAGGAGTGGCTGGGGAGCCGCCCTGCAGAAATGGATCTGGTCAGCAGCAGGGTCAATAGGAGCCAGCAGTGTGCCCTGGCAGCCCAGAGGGCAAACTGCATCCTGGGGGGCATCAAACAGCACAACCAGCCAGTCAAGAGAGGCGATTATCCCACTGTATTTAGCGTTGGTGCGGCCTCAGCTGGAATACTGTGTGCAGTTCTGAGCCCTACCATTTAAAAAGGATGCTGAGGTCCTTGAATGCATCCAGAGGAGGGCAACAAAGCTGGTGACAGGGCTGGAAGGCATGTCCTCTGAGGAGCGGCTGAGGATTTTTGTCTGGTTTGTCTAGTTTGGAGAGAAGGAGGCTGAGGAGCGACCTCATTGCTCTCTGCAGCTTCCTGAGGAGGGGATATGGAGAGGGAGGTGCGGATCTTCTCCCTGGGATCCAGGGTCAGGACTCCTGGGAATGGTTCAAAGCTGCATCAGGGGAGGTTCAGACTTGACAATAGGAAGCATTTCTTTACCAAGAGGGTGGTCACAGACTTGAAGAGGCTTCCTGGGGAGGTGGTCGATGCCCCAAGCCTGGCAGTGTTTAAGAGGGATTTGGACAATGCCCTTAATAACGTGCTCTAACTTTTGGCCAGCCCTGA